ACACACACACACACAACCACACCCACACAACCACACACCCCCACCCCCACACAACCACACACACACACACACGCACGCACGCACGCAAGCACGCACGCACGCACGCACGCACGCACGCACGCACGCACGCACACACAAATCGTTTGTTTGAATCCTGGTTCGCCCCGATTATGTTTCTAGGTTTGTCAGCACCATACCCGTGCTCGTGGGTTTCACTGAAGTGGTAAACGTCTGAGACCTGCATCACTTCGGGAAAACAGTTGGTGGGAACATGAAATCATGCAGAGAGCAGGTGTTCAGCAATGTTTGTTTGTTGTTTTACGCCGCACTTAGCAATATTCCAGCTTTATGACGGCGGTCTGTAAATAATCGAGACGAGACCAGACAATCCCGTGATTGGGTATTGATCCACGCAATTGGGATCGATGACATGCATCTGTTCAGCACTCAAACATGAGGGCACGGGTATGGTACTAACACAACAATACTCAACATCAGAGGGAATCTGAAATTCGAACGCTCGGTAATAGGATCATCACACACTTAATGAATAGCAATTCAACGCACAATCAAAAGAGAAGCTTTGTCAAGAACAATATCACCAACATACATACGCCACATTTAACAGCAATCGGAAGATAACATGTACCATCCTTTAAATTGTTATATGCGCTTATATGGGAGCAAAGCTCACGTCCCTTTGCTCCAAAAGCACACAACTTTCTGATTGTGTTAATAGTGAATTACCGATGCACAGTTAGCGCACCCACCATTAGTCCATCTGGGAGTTGATCAAGTAAACAGGCCTGACAATGCATTCAAAATTATTCTACTCTTTGATTTGAAGCTTCAGTTACTCATCTCTTATTTATACCTGTTTTACATATGTCGCATAGGTGATAATAAAGACGGTACAGAAGCTGTGTGAAAATAGATTTAGTTTCTGTTGAAAGACCACATGTATCAGGCTTACGGCAGATTGCCTTTGTCACTGTTTTTGCACACAACGTGTCTACGCTATATCACAGGCTAGTATAGTTTGTCAGATACTGTATTAATTACTCTATGAAGCAATTAACGAAGGTCAATACTCTCTCCTTACTACAAAGGTATTCTGCTTAGGGTGCTTAGTATCAATATAAATATTGTCCGTATATTGTCTGTATTGTCTGAATGAAATCTGTGGATGTGAGTCGTAGTCTTGGCAACTGATATGAACAAAAGAAATATCTACCAAAAGAAAAGTCCACAGTACGATTCTGACTATATCATAAGCATGTGTTTGTAAATCAGTATGAAATAGTATTAACACCGGATGTCACACATATGAGGAATTGCATTGGTCATCATTTCTGTCAGTGATGCCTCAAATACTACTACTACTACTACAACTACTACTACTACTACAACTACTACTACTACTACTACTACTACTACTACATCAAAGCATCATCCAGGGAGGGACTCTTTTGATTTGCTGCCATGTTAAACTCACTAGACGTCATTTGTGTTTAAGTTCTGATATGGTTTTCAATATATTGACACTATACTCCAACAACCAAAACCAAACAAAGTCGCCCCACCCCCCACCCCCCACCCCCACACACACACACAAACACCTAGTTAACTGTTGCGCAACAGAAAAATACATTGGTGTGCCACAAAATCATTGCCTCGATAAAATAAAGAACGTCCACATTTATATTCATTTTCTAGATAAATAGCCAATTAAGCCTGTATTTCCTCTTAAAACGTTTGCTAAGTATTGAGTATCCAAACACGCAAATATAAATCAAGATTGTGCTATGTTTCTGTATTGATTGCATTGGCATCATTCCGTTTGCCTTCTCGTGAATCCCATGACATTACACATCTCCACCCAATGAAAAAGAAGTTACAATATTTCTTAATTACACATACTAAATCGTTCAGACAGGAATTGTCTGCAGATTGATGTACGACTACTTTACATTTGGAGTACATACACATATTAACAGCTAGAATGCGTCATCGATTGATTGACATCAGTAAACTTGAAGATTGAAGAGAAGACACGATCACATAGAAACACAGGCAAGATAGATGTGTTGTTTCGCTTAGCGATTCAGAATCACACGCATATGTATATGAAGCATCGGATAACAAGATTTCTTCTCAGAACAAAATCATCTGTCAGACACGATCAACTATGAACTTAGTTCAAACGTCTAACATTCTTGAACTTGCATTCAAATTATCTTGCGTGTTAAGTCAGTTACTGTACAATACGGACAGTTGCACGAATGTGACTTTCTACAGGAGGTCTGAGATGGATGATCTGGTATTTGCCGGGAGTCTGATAGAAGAGATTAACCAGGTGGACATGAGGGCTAGGTGTTTCTCCCGATGTCAATTGCGGGGGCTTTGTAACTTGGTCATGCACAACCCACTCACCAGGACGTGAAGACTGCACTCTGAAGCCTTTGATTCGAGCAGTGATGGCATCGATGAAATTGGATGGCAGTTCTATGGAGCAGTTAATCTGTAATTCCATTTAATCCGTTGGTACTTCTCTTATAATACATGTCCATGTTTAGCTGTGTACATATTGACATGTTCAGGGCGATACACATGTTGTGTCAGCGTATAGTCCATGTTTAGCTGTGTACGTACTGACATGTTCAGGGCGACACACATGTTGTGGCAGCGTATAGTCCATGTTTAGCTGTGTACGTATTGACATGTTCAGGGCGATACACATGTTGTGGCAGCGTATAGTCCATGTTTAGCTGTGTACGTATTGACATGCTCAGGGCGACACACATGTTGTGGCAGCGTATAGTCCATGTTTAGCTGTGTACGTATTGACATGCTCAGGGCGACACACATGTTGTGGCAGCGTATAGTCCATGTTTAGCTGTGTACGTATTGACATGCTCAGGGCGATACACATGTTGTGTCAAGGTATAGTCCATGTTCAGCTGTGTACGTATTGACGTGCTCAGTGCAATACACATGTTGTGTCAAGTTATACTCCATATTCAGCTTGTACTTATTGACATGCTCAGGACGACACACATTTTGTGTCAGCATACAGTCCATGTTTAGCTGTGTACGTATTGACATGCCCAGGGCGATACACATTTTGTGTCAGCATACAGTCCATGTTCAGCTGTTGACGTACTGAGATGCTCAGAGCGATACACATGCTGTGTCAGGGTACAGTCGATGTTTAGCTGTGTACATATTGACATGCTCAGGGCGATACACATGTTGTGTCAGGGTACAGTCCATGTTTAGCTGTGTACGTATTGACATGCTCAGGGCGATACACATGTTGTGTCAGAGTAAGTCGACATCTCGTCACGGAACTTGCATTATGACCAATGGGACCTTTAATCCTTCGACATTTCGTCACGGAACTTGAATTATCACCCATGGAACTTTAATCCTTCAACGTCTCCTCACTAAAGCTGTTCTATAATCGATGGAACATTTTAAGCTCCATGTCTCATCTCAAGATCTGCAACATTGTCCATGGAACAGTGAAACTTCGACGTCTCATCATGAAGCCTTTCTTTACGACTTACAGAACGTTGATCCGTTGATGTCTCATCACATAAGATGCTAAATAATCCATTAAATAGTAAACCCTTGAAGTCTCATCATTAAACCTGCTTAATTATCAATGAATACTGAACAATGGATGTCTTTTCCATAGCATTTAACACAATTATCGAAATGTGGCTTATGTATCAATGCCGAAAAATAAACGGCAAAGCTTTGATGATTAAATTAAGAAAGATATCAACACGAGACAAAATCGACTCGTGTAATAAGTCTACAGACTTCAGAGTATCACAGAATGGACTTGGAAATTGTAGAACTTGTGAATATAAAGCTAAAGAATCATGTATCAAATTCAAAAACAGGAAACAACTATTTCTTGTAAGCTCTAACTTGGACTTTCCGCAAGGTATAGTTTGTATGTTAAAATAAGCCAAGCTAGTATGCTGACTCGGAACCGACCAGTCATTGGTTTAACTCCTTAATGCCGAGCGCCAGACAGGGTAACAATAAGTACTATATTTTAACCTCTTTTGGTATGACGTGGCCGGGGATTAAAGCCTGGACCTTCCCTTCTCCGGGCGGGCTCTCTATCACTAGACCACGGGGCCGCTAACAGGAAAGGAAATATAATTTATAATAATCCCTTTCTTTAAAATAACCACTGCTGATGTCATGTGGTGTAAAGCTTAAGAAGACGATTACACACTTTGAAAAGGTAACAATTAGTATAAATTATATTTGTATTTATTGTCAATGATACCACTGTCACTGTAAGCTGCCAATGTGTAGTTCACAGGTCATTCGCCATATCCCTCAAATGACATCTCTTCTTTACCATTTCCACATAAAGATTCTGATAAACAAGTCCCTCCACTGGTGATCCAGGAAACATAAGACAGACACAGAACACCCAAGTCAATACTCATGTCCAATACCATTTCATGATAAACGTCACACATGAAGGCGGAATTTCCTTCATGCATTATTTGTTATTTACGAGACATGTGTTCGCATTTATTCGAACAAAAAAATTCAGGACACAAGTTATATTACATTTCAGCATTGATTGTATTGAATTCCTTCTGTCTGCCTTAATGACTTCATTAATTATTGTGAAGCACTGACACAGTATACCCAGTGACGTTAATCGTGTATCGATCGTGTGAGGTTTTGTTAAGTGTATCTTTCCAGTACAACAAAGCAAAAAATAATGTTAATGGAATACACACACTAAATCCTTTCTACTTTTCAGACAATATGTTTACAAATTGAACACACCACTGATTTTGCCCTTGGAGACCCCGCTTGCTGAATGTGTCTTTCAGTGACTGGCAACAATAACTTGAGAGACACGATGAGCAAATAGGAATGCAAAAAAAAAATGCAGATTGTGTTTTGTTTCCTGAGTGACAGAGAACGCATACGCATGTGGATATGATGTGTTGGGTCACAAGCTTTGGTTGACGCAGAAGATTTTGCTCTGTGCGCCGTATTCATTATGAAAGTATTTCAAACGTCTATCCTCGCTTTATTTGGATTCAATTTGTCGTATGTCTTAACTCTATTAACGTACAACACGGACAGCTGCACTAATGCGACTTTCTACAGAAGATTGGAGATGCATGATCTGATGTTTGCCGGGAGTCTGATAGAAGAGATCAGCCTGGTGGACATGAGGGCTGAGTGCTTCTCTCAGTGTCAGTGGCGGGTAACGTGTAACATGGTCTTGTACAACCCCCTTATTAGAAAGTGTAAATTGTACACTGAAGCCTTTGATTCGAGCAGTGATGACTCTGTTGAAACCGGATGGGAGTACTATGGAAGTGAGTATCAATGGGCACTTAGAGAATAGCCGACGCGAAATAATTAGTAACTGCTTGTGTGAAGGATGTAAGACCCACATTCTAAGGCTAAGCATACCTACTATGGTCAATGGTTACTTAAAAACGTTTTATTTAAACTTAAAACTGAGAATGTTTTGTGCATGAGTGTCTTCTAATAAATCTTTGATGTAAATCCTGTTACGCTCCAGTACCGTTCGGCCATGACAGACATTTTACAAATTCCCAAGCCTGGTTTCTATTAACACAATATCTGGCTTAGTACTGCATTGACAGTCATATCACATCTTTTGCAAAACTTTCTTTGCATCTTACGATACGTTTTAGGCAATGCACGTTTCTGAACATATCTACAGGCATTTAGTAATGCAAAGGATAAATTTTTGCATGGATTGGAATTGATTTGAGAGTAGAGAGAGAGAGAGAGAGAGAGAGAGAGAGAGAGAGAGAGAGAGAGAGAGAGAGAGAGAGAGACTGTGGCATGGTATCTCAGTGGGCTAGCACTACAGAACCCGCATGTGTCTGGACTAGTACAAGCGGACACGCACGCACGCACGCACACACGCACCCAACACACACTTGCAAGCAGTGTTAAAGCAGGTTTCATCTCACGACAATGTATCTTTATAAAGTGAAGTCAGTACTGGATAGTTGCTCACATTACCCATACAAACTAATGTCTTTGATGGCTGATGTAAATATAATTATTCCTACTTCGTCCCCAGTTTCATGTGCCGACTTTACACTTGAAAATACACGTGCCGATGTTAACGTCATCAACACTGACCCTAAAGATGTCTGCAACACCAACATCATTGCCTCCGATGACAACACGTCATCCTGTTATACAGGTGCATCATGGGAAGTGGTGCCAGTCAAGTGTGTGTCATGCTATATAGGCATGGCAAGGCAATCCATGGTAGGTTCACATTGATGTGTATCCCTTTGTCGGCATCAGAGATGAAGATATATTGAATAAGATTACCGACACAAATTGCGTTTAATTTTTCTAAATGGGTAAACGAAAGAAGCGGTAAAACTTATCTTTAGCTATGTTTATCTGTGTCGTGTTTACACTGATATCCCAAAGTTGCAGTTTGTGAAAATGTAAGAGCAATGCATGAGTTACATTTGACAACGAGTACTACAACTTACTTTTAACTTGTACATGTGACATGTGGGCAAATGGCCCAAGCTTGTTGTAAGACTAAAAACTGGATTGGATATCAGGCTCGGTGACTTGGTTGATGACCTGTCGTCATATCCCAATTGTGTTATCACTGGATTGTCTCGCCCTGACTCGATTATTTACATACCACTGCCATGTTACAGGAACATGAAATACACGGCTGCTTTTTCTTTTACACATTGGACGCAAGTGATGTGTCGCCTGGGTTACAATTTGCTAGCAGACTATACAATTTGTGACACCTCAATTGATACATTGTGTCACATTATAAAGATGCTAATCAAGATGCTATTTCCGAATGGATAGTTTTGAATTTAACCTAAACAGTACTAAAACTGAAAATGAGTTAACAGTTAAAGGTGTACAAACATGTAAACATTTCAGTTGGGATTTTTTTTTTATTTATTAAATTGATGGACCCAAACAAATACATGTGTGTTCCTATTTTCATTTTCTAAAAATGTCGTTTCTTTAAAGCAGATTCCATCCATGGAATATTCAGAAGAACTGAACTTTGACCTTGCTGCAGGGATGAAGTTTAGACTGGCAGTGTCTGGAGACACGACTGAGTAGTAAGTAAACCTACAGTAAACCACTTATTCAAGCTCGTTATAACTGTAGTTCGTTATACAAACATACAAACAACATCTGAACAACAAATGGCGGGGATAAACATTTTTTTTCGTAAAATCCGTCAGTTCGTTATAAACGTATTTTACTGTATTTACATATTACTTAGGAACCATAGCAGAAGTGTTTTGTAATCGTACAGTATGTAAAGCACATATTCGTCTTAGATTTGTATTTCTGCATAACAATGTATCATCAATCTGGCTTTCACAGGAGATTTTGTTTGGGTGGGATCAAGCTGTTCCTTAAACGTCACATTCAAATAACGCCACGCATCCCATTGCAATGGATATTGCTGTTCAATCAGAGAAATATTATTATGTTAAGGGAACTCATTCCAATTCCCTGCGATCATGGGCAGGTATAAACTTACAACGTTTTTTTCATGATATAACATAAACGGTATACCATGTACCAGATATCCTGTGTGTTATTGCAGCAACTACATCTTGTTTGAAGCCCCTAACACGGACCTTGTGTACATGTTGTCTTTGAGATGGAGCAACAGCCCAACTCGAGCCGTCTTCAATGCACGGCAGGGGGGAGCCTTTGGTACAGAAGAAGTAGAGCTTGGTATTTCAGTCATTGACATAAGCAACTACGTCATTGAAATCCACATCAGTGATTCTGATTTCATGGTGAGTTCATTGTCAGTTAATATGTGGCTCTGTATGTGACTTACATAACGTGAGTCACAAACAAACACAGCAATGGACATTTGCCTCACCCGACACTAGATACGGGTTCTGTTTTGTGTATAGAAAATAATTATTTTTGTCCTGCTCATAATGTCTCTTCAATGATACATTTTCGGTACACATTATGCTGCAATGACACCGTCTTCTTTCCAGGCGTATACTGACGGGATTCTGTTGATGACCAACCAGATGCGTCTCCCTTTCACTGGCGTCCGACGTGTCACTGTACGAGGTCTTACGGCACTGCACAGTTTCCACATTGGCTATGTGCTGTGCTGATTTCCACTCATGACATTCCACAATTACCCTGCATCAAGATATGACTCTGTGTAGACATCATTCTTTGTGTGGCCTTCAAACATGATCACACCGATTATGTATCTAGGTTTGTCAGCACCATACCCGTGCTCGAGGGTTTCACCGAAGTGGTAAACGTCTGAGACCTGCACCACTTCGAGCTTTCCTCCAACATTAGCTGACGCGCCGTGATATGACCGGACTAATGTTAAAAGCGGCGTTAAACCTAACTCACTCACTCACTCAAAACAGACCAAACAATCATATTCGTAAGAAAGCTCTGCCAAAAGTAGTGGCCAACATACGATTCCAACTAAAACATGGTATATGTTTATGAATCGCTATAAAAAAGATGATGCCAGATGCTCGCGAAATGGTGAGGCAATCCTGCTCCACTGGTATAGCTATCAAGCTAGCTTATGTAGAGGAGATATTATTGAAGTTACCTTATTGAAGTTAAATAATGAAAACTACATCAATGGAATACATTCAAGTGAGTGAGTGGGTTTGGTTTTACACCGTTTTTAGCAACATTGCAGCAATATCACGGCGGGGAATACCACAAATGGGCTTCACACATTGTACCCATGTCGGGAATCAACACCGGATCTTCGACGTGACGAGCGAACGCTTTAACCACTGGGCCACACGATCGCCCCTGATACATTTAAGAAAAAGATACAATTATTTATCAGAACACTATTAACGAAATAATTACAGTGCTGAATTTGTTGTTTGTGGTCTTCATGCTGTTACTCAAATATCCTCTTACCAAGGTTCAAGTTTCTAATCGAATCGAATACCACCTAACTCAATTGGGACATAAACGTAAAAAAATATTGTCATAGAATCCCTTGCAATATAGAATTCTTGTGTAAATATTATCTCCGGAATTGGCAAATGATCTACTCTCGTGCTACCATTATCTCTGATACATGAAAATTGGTCTCCCTTTGTTCAAAATTGTATCTGATATGGGGGAAAACGGTCCCTGCTAAAGACAAAAATGGCAAACAGCATCTCAGTTTCTCGGCAGAGGCGTGAGTGAATGAGTGAGTTTGGTTTTACGCCGCTTTTAGCAATACCAGCGCCCCTCTCGGCAGAGGAAGCTACGTAGGATGTGATAGATGTTTGGTTGGAATGAATGTTTGACATAATGCCCAGACGTTACATCACCGCTACCGAAGCTCATAAATCCATACTGGTCAGATATTGTATGACCAGCACAGTAACCAGTCTCTCACCTTGATACATTCTGTTTCCAAATGACAAATTGTTTCACACTCGGCTGATCATTGTCGACTTTTCTAGACTTGATCTGTTTTACATAGTATTTGGTGTAATACTTTTGACTGTTTAGTGGAATTTTGTAGCTTGTAGACGATAGAAATTCAATCCATACTTGACAGGTTTTCTTTGACAAGCACAGTAACCGGTCTCTCATCTTGACACATTCTGTTTGAAACTGACACATTTTATGGTATTCGGCTGACAAATGTCGCCTTTTTCTAGATTTGCTGTATTTTATGCAATATTTGGTAAAATAATCGCTTGACTGTTTAGCAGATTTTTGTTAGCTAATAGGAAATATGAAAACAATGAAAACTGGTCAGATATTCTATGACAAGCACAGTAACCGGTCTCTCTCCTTTACACATACTGTCTCAAAATGACAATTTTTTGGCACTAAGCTGACAAATGTCGACTTTTCCTAGATTTGCTGTATTTTAAAGATTATTTGGTGCAATAAACGTTTAACTGCAAAGTGGAATTTTTCAGCTTGTAGGAAATATGAAAACAATCCACATTGGTCAGATATTCTTTGACAAGCACAGTAACCAGTCTCTCATCTTAACACATACTGTCTCAAAATGACACATTTTCGGCACTCTGCTGATCATTGTCGACTTTTCTAGACTCACTGTATTTTACATAGTATTTGGAATAATATACTTTTGACTATTTAGTGGAGTTTTGTAGCTTGTAGACTATAGGAAAACAATCCAAACTTGTCAGATATTCTATTACAAGCACAGTAATCGGTCTCTCACCTTGACACATTCTGTTTCAAAATGACACATTATTTCGCACTTGGCTGACAAATTTCGCCTTTTTCTAGATTTGCTGTATTTTAAAAAATAGTTGGTGGAATAAACTTTTGACTGTTTAGCTTAATTCTGTAGCTTGTTGGAAATATGAAAACAAACAACACTGGTCAGATATTCTTTGACAAGCACAGTAACCGGTCTCTTACTTTGGCACATTCTGTTTCAAAATGACACATTTTTAGCTTTTAGCTGACAAATGTAGACTTTTTCTAGACTTCCTGAATGTAAAAGAATATTTGGTGCCATAAACTTTTGACTGTTTAGTGGAATTTTGCAGCATGCAGGAAATGTGAAAAGAATCCAAACTGGTCTGATATTCTTTCACAAGCACAGTAACCGGTCTCTCATCTTGACACATTCTGTTTCAAAATGACTTATTTTTGGTCCTCTGCCGACAAATGTCGCCCGTTTCTAGATTTGCTGTATTTGATATAATTTTTGGTAAAATAAACGTTTGACCGTTTACTAGAATTTTGCAGCTTGTAGAAAATATGAAAACAATGAACACTGGTCAGATATTCTATGACAAGCACAGTAACTGGTCTCTCATCTTGACACATTCTTTCTCAAAATGTCACTTTTTCTTGGCATCCGGCTGACAAATGTCGCCTTTTTCTAGTCATACTGTATTTTACAAAGTATTACAGATGAATAAACTTTTAACTGTTCAGTGGAGTTTTGTAGCTTGTTGACAATAGTAAAACATTCAATACTGGTCAGATATTCTATGACAAGCACAGTAACCGGTCTCTCATCTCGACACATTCTGTTTCAAAATGACACATTTTTTCGCACTTGGCTGACAAATGTCGCCTTTTTCTAGATTTGCTGTATTTTAAAAAATAGTTGGTGGAATAAACTTTTGACTATTTAGCCTAATTCTGTAGCTTGTTGGAAATATGAAAACAAACAACACTGGTCAGATATTCTTTGACAAGCACAGTAACCGGTCTCTTACTTTGGCACATTCTGTTTCAAAATGACACATTTTTAGCTTTTAGCTGACAAATGTAGACTTTTTCTAGACTTCCTGAATGTAAAAGAATATTTGGTGCCATAAACTTTTGACTGTTTAGTGGAATTTTGCAGCATGCAGGAAATGTGAAAAGAATCCAAACTGGTCTGATATTCTTTCACAAGCACAGTAACCGGTCTCTCATCTTGACACATTCTGTTTCAAAATGACTTATTTTTGGTCCTCTGCCGACAAATGTCGCCCGTTTCTAGATTTGCTGTATTTGATATAATTTTTGGTAAAATAAACGTTTGACCGTTTACTAGAATTTTGCAGCTTGTAGAAAATATGAAAACAATGAACACTGGTCAGATATTCTATGACAAGCACAGTAACTTGTCTCTCATCTTGACACATTCTTTCTATAAATGTCACATTTTCTTGGCATCCGGCTGACAAATGTCACCTTTTTCTAGTCATACTGTATTTTACAAAGTATTACAGATGAATAAACTTTTAACTGTTCAGTGGAGTTTTGTAGCTTGTTGACAATAGTAAAACATTCAATACTGGTCAGATATTCTATGACAAGCACAGTAACCGGTCTCTCATCTCGACACATTCTGTTTCAAAATGACACATTTTTTCGCACTTGGCTGACAAATGTCGCCTTTTTCTAGATTTGCTGTATGTTAAAGAACTTTTGGTTGAATAAACATTTGAGTGTTTAGTGGAATTTTGCAGCTTGTAGGAAATATGAATACAATCAACACTGGTCACATATTCTATGACAAGCACAGTAACCGGTCTCTCACCTTGACACATTCTGTTTCAAAATGACACATTTTTTCGCGCTCGGCTGACAAATGTCGCCTTGTTCTAGATTTGCTGTATTTTAAAGACTATTTGGTGCAATAAACTTTTGCCTGTTTAGGGGAATTTTGCAGCATGTAGGAAATGTGAAAATAATCCAAACTGGTCAGATATTCTTTGGCAAGCACAGTAACCGGTTTCTCATTCTGTTTCAAAATGACACATTTTTGGTACTCGGCTGACAAATGTCGCTAACAGTCTAGACATTTGCGTTTTATCGCAACGTAGACACGTATCTAGGCTAACAATCTAGACATTGGCGTTTTATCGCAACGTAGACACGTATCTAGGCTAACAGTCTAGACTTTGGCGTTTTATCGCAACGTCGACACGTATCTACGCTAACAGTCTTGACATTGGCGTTTTATCGCAACGAAAACACGTATCCAGGCTAACAGTCTTGACATTGGCGTTTTATCGCAACGTAGACACGTATCCAGGCTAGCAGTCTAGACATTGGCGTTTTATCGCAACGTAAACACGTATATAGGCTAACAGTCTAGATATTGGCGTGTTAATGCAACGTAGACACGTATCTAGGCTCACTGTCTAGACTTTGGCGTTTTATCGCAACGTAGACACTTATGAAGGCTAGCAATCTAGACATTGGCGTTTTATCGCAACGTAGACACGTATCTAGGCTAACAATCTAGACATTGGCGTTTTATCGCAACGTAGACACGTATCTAGGCTAACAGTCTAGACTTTGGCGTTTTATCGCAACGTCGACACGTATCTACGCTAACAGTCTTGACATTGGCGTTTTATCGCAACGAAAACACGTATCCAGGCTAACAGTCTTGACATTGGCGTTTTATCTCAACGTAGACACGTATCCAGGCTAGCAGTCTAGACATTGGCGTTTTATCGCAACGTAGACACGTATCCAGGCTAACAGTCTGGACATTTGCGTTTTATCGCAAGGTAGGCACGTATCTAGACGTACAGTCTAGAATTTGGCGTTTTATTGGAATGTAGACACGTATCTAGGCTAACAATCTAGACACTGGCGTTTTATTGCAACGTAGACACGCATCTAGGCTAACAGTCTAGACTTTGGCCTTTTATTGCAATGTAGACACGTATCTACGCTAATAGTCTTGACATTGGCGTTTTATCGCAACGTAGGCACGTACCTAGGCTTACAGTCTTGACATTGGCGTTTTATCGCAACGCAGGCACGTATCTAGGCTTACAGTCTTGACATTGGCGTTTTATCGCAACGTGCCCACGTATCTAGGCTTACAGTCTAGACTTTGGCGTTCTATCGCAACGTAGTAGGAGTGATTCACCATCATATCGTTTAGATACAGATCAGTTTTGTATGTGATGGAAAAAGGAAGATAATAGACAAATATTTACATTACTGCTTTGTCTCATCAAGGTACCGCTTGGGTTTTCGTTTTCTTCATGTACATATTTTTTGTTGAATATATATCTGTGTAATGAAACTGGGTATATAGACTAGTAACGCCATAACATTGCAGACATTCCAGACATTCTACACCACTCCATAATAGACCAGACGTGCCATACAATTCCAGATATTCCATAATAGACAAAACGTGCCATACCATTCCAGAAATTCCATAATAGACCAGACGTGCCATACATTTCCAGACATCCCTTAATAGACCAGACGTGCCATACAATTCCAGACATTCCATAATAGACCAGACGTGCCATACCATTCCAGACATCCCTTAATAGACCAGACGTGCCATACAATTCCAGACATTCCATAATAGACCAGACGTGGCATTCCATTCCAGACATTCCTTAATAGACCAGACGTGTCATTCCATGCCAGACATCCCTTAATAGACCAGACGTGCCATACTGTTCCAGACATTCCATAATAGACCAGACGTGTCATTCCATTCCAGACATTCCAGACATTCCATAATAGACCAGACGTGGCATTCCATGCCAGACATTCCTGATATTCCTCACTTCCCCTTCAGGGACACCACCCTCTGTTCTCGCGGACGATACTACATACCTCGCATTGTGTTTCCATTGTCCCATTACCACAAAAGGAGGTTTTGGGCTTTGTTCTCACCATCGACTAGTTGTATTACTTCTATTTAAAACGGGTTATCCTCCGTATCTGTATAAATATACAACGTCAATGCCAACGAATGTCCAGTATTGATCCTCTGACAAAACAGATTCCACTGGACGCAAAAGACAAAACAGCGGTGAAAATTGTATGACTGGATCGCTGAAAATCAGTGGCTCAAGGTGTTCGCGAAAAGGCTGAACATGTCCCGTCCTTACCAGCAAACACCCTCCGCTCACATAACTTGTCGAAAAAATAAGAAGTTTTCATGTAAAAGGAATTAAAATAAAAAAGAAGCTTGCACATGTAGCTTCACGGACCACTTACCGCAAGCGAGTGACAATGGAGTGATTTCGCCATTGTATTCAGGGGATTAGCTTTTAGGGGGAATGAAGAACAACATTGGCATGACCTTTCCGGGACAAAACACATACACAATAAAAGTGAAAATATAAAATGGGCGGAATGCGGATCAACATCACAAGCATTACAAGTTTCCAGCTCTCACACACATGACGCGGTGAGCGGAGATGCATCTCAAATACACTGTGACGCGTGAAGATAAAACTCAGGCACACCTTGGCGAGCGGAGATGCAGCTCAGACACACAGTGGCAAGTGGAGATTCAGCTCAGACACACCGTGGTGAATAGAGACGCAGCTCAGACACCCCTCTATGGCGAGCGGAGATGCAATGCAGACACATCGTAGCAAGCGGAGATGCAGCTGAGACACACCGCGGCGAGCGGAGATGCAGCTCAGACACACTGGCGGCGAGCGGAGATGCAGGGCAGACACACTGGCGGCGAGCGGAGATGCAGGGCAGACACACCGCGGCGAGCGGAGATGCAGCTCAGACACACTGGCGGCGAGCGGAGATGCAGGGCAGACACACTGGCGGCGAGCGGAGATGCAGCTCAGACACACTGGCGGCGAGCGGAGATGCAGGGCAGACACACTGGCGGCGAGCGGAGATGCAGCTCAGACACACTGGTGGCGAGCGGAGATGCAGGGCAGACACACTGGCGGCGAGCGGAGATGCAGCTCAGACACACTGGCGGCGAGCGGAGATGCAGGGCAGACACACTGGCGTCGAGCAGAGATGCAGCTCAGACACACCGGCGGTGAGTGGAGATGCAGCTCAAACACACTAGCGGCGAGCGGAGATGCAGGGCAGACACACTGGCGGCGAGCGGAGATGCAGGGCAGACACACCGGCGGCGAGCGGAGATGCAGGGCAGACACACTGGCGGCGAGCGGAGATGCAGCTCAGACACACTGGCGGGGAGCGGAGATGCAGGGCAGACACACTGGCGGCGAGCGGAGATGCAGCTCAGACACACTGGCGGCGAGCGGAGATGCAGGGCAGACACACTGGCGGCGAGCGGAGATGCAGCTCAGACACACTGGCGGCGAGCGGAGATGCAGGGCAGACACACTGGCGTCGAGCAGAGATGCAGCTCAGACACACCGGCGGTGAGTGGAGATGCAGCTCAAACACACTAGCGGCGAGCGGAGATGCAGGGCAGACACACTGGCGGCGAGCGGAGATGCAGGGCAGACACACCGGCGGCGAGCGGAGATGCAGGGCAGACACACTGGCGGCGAGCGGAGATGCAGGGCAGACACACTGGCGGCGAGCGGAGATGCAGGGCAGACACACCTTGGTGAACGGAGATGTAGCTCATCATGGTGAGCAGAGATGCAGCTCAGATACACGCAGTGAGTGGAGATCAAGCGCAATCTCCGGGCGTTTCCTCAATTCTCTCCCAGTCGTCCGTACACTAGCTGTCGGAATACCAATACACCTAAAGATCTACATGGATCGTATAATGCACAGACACACGGTTAGGGCACATACATAAATATTACAAATTCCCAGATGGGAATTAGGCGCTAATTGAAGCAATGAAGGGGCAACCTTTCTGTTTCAGTTATTATACAGTTTGGGCTGAGTAACAAGAAAGCACAGCCATATATTAGATTAAAGTTGACATGAACCTAAATTACAGTATAATATATCATTAAATCTAACACAGAAAACTTCATAACAAAAAGGTATAAGTATGACACTGTAATGTAATTTTCAAACAACAATTATATAATGTGAGAAGGATAACATGCTGTGTCAGGAACTTAAGGTCCCAAATTTCCCACTTTATGTTATCAGTGTCTTAACAATGATGTGTGATCAGCTTCTCATCTGCATATTCCTGGCTATGCTTGAAGGCTGTGAGCCTGCATGACCAACAAAGGGTGGTAGCTGAAGTGAGAGGTTATAAGATATAGCAATGCGTGTTTGTGTTAGTGTTGCCTTAGAAGTACCAGCTTCCGAGTAACTGAACGCAATTTTCAAGAGATTTTCATGGAACTCCGACCAAAATATTAACTGGTTACACTTAACAACTGAGATTCGGTGTGCATTGTCTTGGACAACTAAGACAAATTGATACATTTTAATCAAGCGTTTGTATTGTGTTACGTGTCAACTTCATAATAAAAACAATAAGTTAAAAGAGCAATGGCAGTACAAGACCAATGGCAGTACCAAATTCAATATCAGTGGTTATAACAATAAAGACGAGAATAATAATATGTACCTAGCAGCAATTCCAAAATAGGCTTAGACTTGATATCTAGGGTGAAAAGTGATCTTCACACATCTGCTGGACTTGATGTAATGTGAGATGAGAGAGGCACGCTAATGCCCCCTCAAATAGCCTAAATCCATTCTTGCAGTGTATACAGTGTATTGCTGTACTGGAACACTCCAATAGAGTCAAGGTTAGACCTGGCTACACAAGTATCTAAACATAGTAACTTCCACATCACTGTTTACATTAGATAGTACTACATTGCAGACGACTGTTTATTGTCCAAACACAATGATGTGGACTTCTAATGAAACAGAGACAATATATGATTAGACTCACATCAAAGACTCACAACAAAAAAGGATGTGAATGTGTATACTATACATAGAACTGCAGAATTATTTCTACTGTTGCGTGTTTATCCATGACTTATCCACCCACACCCACTCACACCCACACCCACACCCACACCCACACCCACACCCACACCCAAACACACCCACACCCACACACACACACACACCCACACAACCACACCCACACAACCACACACCCCCATCCCCACACAACCACACACACACACACACGCACGCACGCACGCAAGCACGCACGCACGCACGCACGCACGCACGCACGAACGCACGCACGCACACACACACAAATCGTTTGTTTGAATCCTGGTTCGCCCCGATTATGTTTCTAGGTTTGTCAGCACCATACCCGTGCTCGTGGGTTTCACTGAAGTGGTAAACGTCTGAGACCTGCATCACTTCGGGAAAACAGTTGGTGGGAACATGAAATCATGCAGAGAACAGGTGTTCAGCAATGTTTGTTTGTTGTTTTACGCCGCACTTAGCAATATTCCAGCTTTATGACGGCGGTCTGTAAATAATCGAGACGAGACCAGACAATCCCGTGATTGGGTATTGATCCACGCAATTGGGATCGATGACATGCATCTGTTCAGCACTCAAACATGAGGGCACGGGTATGGTACTAACACAACAATACTCAACATCAGAGGGAATCTGAAATTCGAACGCTCGGTAATAGGATCATCACACACTTAATGAATAGCAATTCAACGCACAATCAAAAGAGAAGCTTTGTCAAGAACAATATCACCAACATACATACGCCACATTTAACAGCAATCGGAAGATAACATGTACCATCCTTTAAATTGTTATATGCGCTTATATGGGAGCAAAGCTCACGTCCCTTTGCTCCAAAAGCACACAACTTTCTGATTGTGTTAATAGTGAATTACCGATGCACAGTTGGCGCACCCACCATTAGTCCATCTGGGAGTTGATCAAGTAAACAGACCTGACAATGCATTCAAAATTATTCTACTCTTTGATTTGAAGCTTCAGTTACTCATCTCTTATTTATACCAGTTTTACATATGTCGCATAGGTGATAATAAAGACGATACAGAAGCTGTGTGAAAATAGATTTAGTTTCTGTTGAAAGACCACATGTATCAGGCTTACGGCAGATTGCCTTTGTCACTGTTTTTGCACACAACGTGTCTACGCTATATCACAGGCTAGTATAGTTTGTCAGATACTGTATTAATTACTCTATGAAGCAATTAACGAAGGTCAATACTCTCTCCTTACTACAAAGGTATTCTGCTTAGGGTGCTTAGTATCAATATAAATATTGTCCGTATATTGTCTGTATTGTGTGAATGAAATCTGTGGATGTGAGTCGTAGTCTTGGCAACTGATATGAACAAAAGAAATATCTACCAAAAGAAAAGTCCACAGTACGATTCTGACTATATCATAAGCATGTGTTTGTAAATCAGTATGAAATAGTATTAACACCGGATGTCACACATATGAGGAATTGCATTGGTCATCATTTCTGTCAGTGATGCCTCAAATACTACTACTACTACTACAACTACTACTACTACTACAACTACTACTACTACTACTACTACTACTACATCAAAGCATCATCCAGGGAGGGACTCTTTTGATTTGCTGCCATGTTAAACTCACTAGACGTCATTTGTGTTTAAGTTCTGATATGGTTTTCAATATATTGACACTATACTCCAACAATCAAAACCAAACAAAGTCGCCCCCCCCCCCCCCCCCCCCCCCCCCCCCCACACACACACACACACACAAACACCTAGTTAACTGTTGCGCAACAGAAAAATTCATTGGTGTGCCACAAAATCATTGCCTCGATGAAATAAAGAACGTCCGCATTTATATTCATTTTCTAGATAAATAGCCAATTAAGCCTGTATTTCCTCTTAAAACGTTTGCTAAGTATTGAGTATCCAAACACGCAAATATAAATCAAGATTGTGCTATGTTTCTGTATTGATTGCATTGGCATCATTCCGTTTGCCTCCTCGTGAATCCCATGACATTACACATCTCCACCCAATGAAAAAGAAGTTACAATATTTCTTAATTACACATACTAAATCTTTCAGACAGGAATTGTCTGCAGATTGATGTACGACTACTTTACATTTGGAGTACATACACATATTAACAGCTAGAATGCGTCATCGATTGATTGACATCAGTAAACTTGAAGATTGAAGAGAAGACACGATCACATAGAAACACAGGCAAGATAGATGTGTTGTTTCGTTTAGCGATTCAGAATCACACGCATATGTATATGAAGCATCGGATAACAAGATTTCTTCTCAGAACAAAATCATCTGTCAGACACGATCAACTATGAACTTAGTTCAAACGTCTAACATTCTGGAACTTGCATTCAAATTATCTTGCGTGTTAAGTCAGTTACTGTACAATACGGACAGTTGCACGAATGTGACTTTCTACAGGAGGTCTGAGATGGATGATCTGGTATTTGCCGGGAGTCTGATAGAAGAGATTAACCAGGTGGACATGAGGGCTAGGTGTTTCTCCCGATGTCAATTGCGGGGGCTTTGTAACTTGGTCATGCACAACCCACTCACCAGGACGTGTAGACTGCACTCTGAAGCCTTTGATTCGAGCAGTGATGGCATCGATGAAATTGGATGGCAGTTCTATGGAGCAGTTAATCTGTAATTCCATTTAATCCGTTGGTACTTCTCTTATAATACATGTCCATGTTTAGCTGTGTACATATTGACATGTTCAGGGCGATACACATGTTGTGGCAGCTTATAGTCCATGTTTAGCTGTGTACGTACTGACATGCTCAGGGCGATACACATGTTGTGGCAGCGTATAGTCCATGTTTAGCTGTGTACGTATTGACATGTTCAGGGCGATACACATGTTGTGGCAGCGTATAGTCCATGTTTAGCTGTGTACGTATTGACATGCTCAGGGCGACACACATGTTGTGGCAGCGTATAGTCCATGTTTAGCTGTGTACGTATTGACATGCTCAGTGCAATACACATGTTGTGTCAAGTTATACTCCATATTCAGCTTGTACTTATTGACATGCTCAGGGCGATACACATGTTGTGTCAGGGTACAGTCCATGTTCAGCTGTTGACGTACTGAGATGCTCAGAGCGATACACATGCTGTGTCAGGGTACAGTCGATGTTTAGCTGTGTACATATTGACATGCTCAGGGCGATACACATGTTGTGTCAGGGTACAGTCCATGTTTAGCTGTGTACGTATTGACATGCTCAGGGCGATACACATGTTGTGTCAGAGTAAGTCGACATCTCGTCACGGAACTTGCATTATGACCAATGGGACCTTTAATCCTTCGACATTTCGTCACGGAACTTGAATTATCACCCATGGAACTTTAATCCTTCAACGTCTCCTCACTAAAGCTGTTCTATAATCGATTGAACATTTTAAGCTCCATGTCTCATCTCAAGATCTGCAACATTGTCCACGGAACAGTGAAACTTCGACGTCTCATCATGAAGCCTTTCTTTACGACTTACAGAACGTTGATCCGTTGATGTCTCATCACATAAGATGCTAAATAATCCATTAAATAGTAAACCCTTGTAGTCTCATCATTAAACCTGCTTAATTATCAATGAATACTGAACAATGGATGTCTTTTCCATAGCATTTAACACAATTATCGAAATGTGGCTTATGTATCAATGACGAAAAATAAACGGCAAAGCTTTGATGATTAAATTAAGAAAGATATCAACACGAGCCAAAATCGACTCGTGTAATAAGTCTACAGATTTCAGAGTATCACAGAATGGACTTGGAAATTGTAGAACTTGTGAATATAAAGCTAAAGAATCATGTATCAAATTCAAAAACAGGAAACAACTATTTCTTGTAAGCTCTAACTTGGACTTTCCGCAAGGTATAGTTTGTATGTTAAAATAAGCCAAGCTAGTATGCTGACTCGGAACCGACCAGTCCTTGGTTTAGCTCCTTAATGCCGAGCGCCAGACAGGGTAACAATAAGTACTATATTTTAACCTCTTTTGGTATGACGTGGCCGGGGATTAAAGCCTGGACCTTCCCTTCTCCGGGCGGGCTCTCTATCACTAGACCACGGAGGCGCTAGCAGGAAAGGAAACGTAATTAATAATAATCCCTTTCTGGAAAATGAACACTGCTGATGTCATGCGGTGTAAAGCTTAGGAAGACGATTTAACACTTTAAATAAGTAAAGCGGACGCTCTACCACTAGACCACGGGGCCGCCAACAGGAAAGGAAATATAATTTAGAATAATCCCTTTCTTTAAAATGAACACTGCTGATGCCATGCGGTGTAAAGCTTAAGAAGACGAGTTCACACTTTAAATAGGTAACTGTTATATCTGTAATTGAAACGCAGTAGTTTTAAACAAGCTAGTGTATAATATTATGACAGGCCAACAGATGTCCGCTCTTGTAATGCGATTAGTTGCAGGTAAGCGCAATCACGTGCTGTTATGTCACATGCGACAGTCGGAATAAACAGCCGGTCAAGTGGCAGGCTCGTCTCCCTGCTCCCGCGTTTGTCGTTCCTCCCTGAGACCCCAACATTTTGGCGACGAGGATGGGATCCAAGGTAGCTATGAAGTATATGTAAAGGAATTTTGGTACGTTTATCTGGCTGTTTGACGATACATTGACGAGGTGTGTTCGTTGCGACGAGTGTGTTAGCCAAGAGCACGTGGTCTGCTGACCTTTGTTTCACCCGTCAGTGTGAAGTAGGAGAAGCGGTATAGATGAACATTGACTTTTGTTTCGCTCTTCTTGAGGCATTATAACCGTCACTATCTTCAGCTCAGAGATTATGGCTACCACGGGTTTTGTTTGTGGATTGTTTGAATTTAATCCAAAGAAGTCGACATGGGAGGAATGGTGTGAGATACTGACACATGTTTTCGTGGCAAACGGAATTACAGACGAAGACAAACAGAAAAGCATACTGTTAGCGTCATGTGGAACTGAAACTTACCAGTTGATAAGAGCATTGGTTCAGCCCGTGAAACCTAGCGAGAAAACGTTTGACCAGCTGGTGGTTTTATTGAAAGAACATTTCACGCCAAAATCATCGGAAATTGTACAGAGATTTAAATTTCATTCACGGAATAGGAAGGCTGGTGAAAGTGTAGCTGCTTATGTCGCCGAATTGAGAAAGTTGACTGACGGGTGTGATTTTGGAACGTCTTTACAGGCCATGTTGAGAGACAGGTTAGTGTGTGGTATTTGTGATGACAATATTCAGAAAAAGTTGTTGTCAGAGACTGCTCTAACATTTAGTAGTGCATTGAAAATTGCTAACGCAATTGAGGCGGCAGACAAGAATCTACAGGATCTTCACGGTGATAAAACTGTGGGACATTCAGTACACAAGTTTCGCAGTAAACCATCAGCACAATCTACAAAAGACCAGAGGCCTCATGTTGGATCTGGAAATAACAAACCTTGTTTTAGATGTGGAAAAACTACTCATGCTCCACACATGTGTTTTTATAAGAATGAGAAGTGTCATAAGTGTGGAAAACGTGGCCATATTGTGAGAGTCTGCAGGTCAGAAGAATCAATTCCGCAGAAACAGAATTCTAAGGCTAAATTCAAGGGAAGACAGAAAGTGAATGCTGTAGTGAGTGAGGTGAACTCGTGTGGCCCAGGTAATAGCAGTGCTAGTGTGGAAGACTTGTTTGAGAACTCGCTATTTCATGTTAGTACTCAGCCTTCGGCTAAAGGTGATCCAAACTACCCAAACCCCTACTACATTACAGTGGATGTTAATGGCACACCAGTGACGTTTGAGGTTGACACGGGATGCCCAGTGACCATTGTGAATGAGCAGACGGCTCAAAGAATTGGCCTTCAGTCATCGACATTATACACGTCACAAGTACCCCTGCGAAGTTATACAGGACAGGACGTAGATTTGAACGGTTATACTACTGTGGAAGTATCTTACGAGGAGAGATCTTACTCCTTACCGATTTCCATAGCCAAGGGTAATGGTTCCAATCTTCTAGGTCGTACATGGGTACAGCCTTTGAACTTTGACCTGAGGGATGTTTCGGTGAACCTTATGAAATCTACAGATTTGACACTTAATGATGTTCTTGAACGACACTCAGCTGTTTTTGAGGAAGGTCTTGGAACACTTAAGGGATTCCAAGCTCACATCTACGTGGATAAAGATGCAACTCCGAAGTTTTTCAAACCTAGATCTGTGCCGTATGCATTACGTCAGAAGATAGAAGTTGAACTTGATCGCTTGCTGAGTGAAGGCATTATTGAGCCAATCAAGCATTCTGAGTGGGCGTGTCCCATTGTGCCAGTCATTAAACCTGATTCTTCTGTCAGGATTTGTGGAGATTTTAAACTGACAGTGAATCAGTTTTCAAAATTGGAGCAATATCCAATACCGAAGTTGGAAGATTTGTGCACGAAGCTATCTGGGGGTGTAAAGTTCACCAAACTTGACATGAGTCATGCGTATCAACAGTTAGTCTTGGATGAAGAATCGCGAAAATATGTCGTGATTAACACCCACAAAGGACTCTTTAGGTACACAAGATTGCCATTTGGAGTATCTTCGGCACCCGCTATCTTTCAACGGATGATTGAAAGTATTCTACAGGGACTCGATTACTCAGCGGGTTATCTCGACGATATCATAAACTCTGGAATCAACGACAGTGAGCATCTTCGTATTCTGGATGAAGTACTTCATCGATTGTCAGAAGCAGGATTACGTTTGAGAAGAAACAAGTGTGTCTTTATGGCTGATGAAGTTGAATATCTTGGTTATAGACTTGACAGTGAAGGTTTGCATCCAGTGGAGAAAAAGATTGCTGCAATTCAGGAAGCTAAGGTCCTTGAAAATGTGAAAGAATTGAGAGCTTATCTTGGTATTCTGAACTACTACCATAGGTTTCTACCAAATCTGCCTGACACTCTCTCCCCCTTGTACAAGTTGCTACAAAAAGAAGTGAAATGGTCATGGAGTACATCTCAACAAAAAGCGTTTGAGAAGTCGAAGAACTTGCTTCAGTCTTCGGATGTCTTGATTCATTTTGACAGCTCCAAACCACTTTTACTGCAGTGTGATGCATCCCCCTACGGAGTAGGTGTTGTGTTGGCTCACCAACTGCCTGATGGTTCGGAGAGACCTATAAGTTTTGCTTCAAGGACACTGACTAAGGCAGAGCAGAATTATTCTCAACTTGATCGTGAAGGACTGAGTGTGATCTTTGGCCTGCGAACGTTTCATAAGTATGTTTATGGACGTCATTTCCAGATCGTGACAGATCACAAGCCGTTGGTGTCATTATTCAATGAGAATAATCCAGTGCCACAGATGGTGTCTCCAAGAGTTCAGAGATGGTCAGTGTTGTTGACTGCATATGACTATAAAATTGTACACAGGAAAGGTACACAGCATACCAATGCAGACGCATTGAGCAGGTTGCCAGCGCCTGACTCAGGGAAGCCTATGGAAGACATGACAGTCTTAATGCTTCAGGAATTGGACACATGCCCTCTGAAGTCTAAAGACATAAGTATCCAGACTGGCAAGGACCGAACATTGTCTATTGTTCGAGAATTTGTGATCCGAGGTTGGCCGCAGCGTGATAAGTTGGATGACCACTATGAGCCGTACTACAGAGTTCGTTCTGAACTCAGTGTGATGGATGGATGCTTATTGAGAGGTTCGAGGGTCATCATTCCATTGAAACTCACATCTGTCATATTGTCAGAGTTGCATCAGTCCCACCCAGGAATCACCAGGATGAAGGGCTTGGCCCGAAGCTATGTTTGGTGGCCGCATCTAGATGCTGACATAGAAACAACAGTAAACAGTTGTGATTCCTGCCAGGAAGACAGGAATTGTCCGAGTGTAGCTCCCCTACACCCTTGGGAGTATCCTTCTCAACCTTGGCAAAGACTGCATATGGATTATGCTGGTCCATTCATGGGTAGCATGTTTCTTATAGTGATTGACGCCTACTCCAAATGGATCGAATGTGCACCTATGTCGTCGTCAAATGCAAAGGCTACCATAAACCAGCTGCGTCGGATGTTTGCAGCTTATGGCATACCAGAAATTATTGTAACTGATAATGCTACAGCTTTTGTTGGGGAAGAATTTGCTACATTTATGTCCAGAAATGGAGTTGAACATGTGACAACATCCCCTCATCACCCGGCTGGGAATGGCTTAGCAGAAAGGGCGGTTCAAATAATAAAAGATGGATTAAAGAAGACAACTGGTGACACAGTTGCAACTCAACTACATAGGTTACTATTTTCTTATAGAATTACACCACAGTCTACAACTGGTGTATCACCTTCAATGTTGTTTCTTGGACGCAGATTGCGTTCGCGATTGGACTTGATGTTTCCAAACCTTGCCTCAAAGGTGAAAAAGAACCAGAGAAAACTTGTGGATCAGTCAGCTCTAACGAAATGTAGGGCATTCCAAGTGAATGACTCGGTGTGGGTTAAGAACTTTGCTTCAGGTCCAAAGTGGATTAGTGGACAAGTTGATAGTGTAACTGGTCCATTGTCGTACATCATCAAGTTAACGGATGGAAGATTGGTCAGAAGGCATGTGGATCATGTCAGACGCAGGATGTCTTTATCTTCACCCCGAAGGGACGTGATTGAACGTTCAGACACTCCGCTAGAATCACAGTCTTCACGAAGGAAGGAGTATGAATCAGACTTACCTGACACATCACAGGTAGATTCCCATGAGGAAAGTATCCAAGGGGATGTTTCAAGTGTACCAGATATGTCTGAACCGGGGGAGGAAACGCCGGTAGTGACATCGCCTGTAGCACCCATACTTCGTCGTTCAACCAGAGTGAAGCAGCAACCGTCTTATCTGAGGGACTTTGTGTCAAAGTGACATTTGAGTGAACTGTGACTGTCATTTGCAGTGAACTATGTGTCAAGGTGGCATTTGATTTAGCTGTGAATTACAGTTACTTGTATCAGGACTATAATACTTCAGCAGGTTATCAGTATTATTATGTGTCGAAAAAAAAGCTCAGTTTAGTTAAATTTCACTTTCTACTTTAACAATGTTTTCATTATGACTTACTTGTCAAGTCACAGGGTTATTAGTACTTTACAAGAGTCAGTGTACATTGTTAAGTTACTTATACTTTATGAAGTTCCGTGGACTATGTTGTTTATCAAAGATTATTATTTTGGTTTCAAAGTAACTTAAATTTAGGAGGGGCGGATGTTATATCTGTAATTGAAACGCAGTAGTTTTAAACAAGCTAGTGTATAATATTATGACAGGCCAACAGATGTCCGCTCTTGTAATGCGATTAGTTGCAGGTAAGCGCAATCACGTGCTGTTATGTCACATGCGACAGTCGGAATAAACAGCCGGTCAAGTGGCAGGCTCGTCTCCCTGCTCCCGCGTTTGTCGTTCCTCCCTGAGAACCCAACAGTAACAATTTATCTAAATTATATTTGTATTTATTGTCATTGATACCACTGTCACTGGAAGCCGCCAATGTTAAGTTCACAGGTCATTCGTCATATCCCTCAAATGACATCTCTTCTTTACCACCTCCACATAAAGATTCTGTTAAACAAGTCTCTCCATTGGTGATCCAGAAAACAAAAGACAGACGCACAACACCCAAGTAAATACTCATGTCCAATAACATTTCCAGATAAACGTCACACATGAAGGCGGAATTTTCTTTTTGCATTGTTTGTTATTTACCAGACATGTGTGGGTATTCATTCGAAGAAAAAAATTCAGGACACAAGTTATATTACATTTCAGCATTGATTGTATTGAATTCCTGTCTGCCTTAATGAATTTTATTAATTAATGTCACGCACTGACATATGTATACCCAGTGACGTTAATCGTGTATCGATCGTGCGAGGCTTTGTTAAGTTAGTGTTCATGGAGAAAATACATTTCCAGTACAAGGAAGCAAACATTGATATTAATGGAATACACATACTAAATCCCTGCTACTTTTCAGACAATATGTTTACAAATTGAACACACCACTAATTTTGCCCTTGGAGACCCCGCTAGTTGAACGTGTCTTTCAGTGACTGGCAGCAATAACTTGAGAGACACGATGAGCAAATAGGCAAGCCAAAATGAAATGCCGACTGTGTTTTGTTTCCTGAGTGACGGAGAACGCATACGCAAGTGAATATGATGTGCTGGGTCACAAGCTTTGATTGAGGCGGAAGATTTTGCTCTGGGTGCCGTATTCATTATGAAAGTGTTTCAAACGTCTATCCTCGCTTTATTTGGATTCAATTTGTCGTATGTCTTAACTCTATTAACGTACAACACGGACAGCTGCACTATTGCGACTTTCTACAGAAGATTGGAGATGGATGATCTGATGTTTGCCGGGAGTCTGATAGAAGAGATCAACCTGGTGGACATGAGGGCTGAGTGCTTCTCTCAGTGTCAGTGGCGGGTAACGTGTAACATGGTCTTGTACAACCCCCTTATTAGAAAGTGTAAATTGTTCACTGCAGCCTTTGATTCGAGCAGTGATGACTTTGTTGAAACCGGATGGGAATACTATGGAAGTGAGTATGAACGGGCACTTAGAGAATAGCCGACGTTATATAATTAGTAACTGCTTGTGTGAAGGATGTAAGACCCACATTCTGAGGCTAAGCATACCTACTATGGTCAATGGTTACTTAAAAACTTTTAATTCAAACTTAAAACTGAGAATGTTTTGTGCATGAGTGTCTTCTAATAAATCTTTGATGTAAATCCAGTTACGATCTAGTACCGTTCGGGCGTAACAGACATTTTACAAAATTCCCAAGCCTGGTTTTTATTAACACAATACAGTCAACTACGGTTATAACGAACACGCTTATAACGAACTAACGGATATAACGAACTAACTTTTTAGTCCCGACTTCTTGCTGTAGTTATACTGTATATATGCTTATAACGAATTACGGTTATAACGAACTAAAAATAGTAGTCCCTTTGAGTTCGTTATAACCGTAGTTTACTGTATCTAGCTTAGTACTACATTGACAGTCATATCACATCTTTTGCATCACTTTCTTTGCATATTACAATACGTTTTAATTGAGTGAGTGAGTGAGTATGATTTTACGCCGCTTTTTAGCAATATTCCAGCAATATCACGGCGGGGGACACCAGAAATGGGCTTCACACATTGTACCCATGTCGGGAATCGAACCCGGGTCTTCGGCGTGACGAGCGAACGCTTTAACCACTGGGCTACCCGACCGCCCCAATACGTTTTAAGCAATACACAGTTCTGAACATATCAATAGGCATTTCGTAATGCAAAGGTCCGTGAACATCCGCGTTAGAGTAGGTCTTCAGCAACCCATGCTTGCCGTAAAAGGCGACTTTGCTTGTCGTAAGAGGCGACTTACGGGATCGGATGGTCAGGCTCACTGACTTTGTTGAAACATGTCATCGTATCACAATTGCGTGGATCGATGTTCACGATGTCAATCACTGGATTGTCTGGTCTAGGCTCGAATATTTACAGACCGCCGTCATACAGCTGGACTATTGCTGAGTCCGGCGTAAAACAACAAAGAAACAAACAAAAAGGAACACAAACTCTTGGGTTTAGTAGGTCACAGTTCCTTGACCTACTTACCCTAAATGCGTGCATTACTTAATGGTCATTGATATACTCAGAAATATTAAAATCATAAATATCTGACCGGGTGCTACGTAAATCCATGCGGAATTGATAAAATTTTGCATGGATTGGAATTGATTTGAGAGGAAAAGAATTTTGGTAGTGTCGTAATAGAAAAATCGCCAAAAAACACAATCACGTGAGAGCCTAGCGCCGAAACACACACCAATATGACATGTAACATCACTTGTTGGGCTATAAAAGCGCTGGGATTTCATTCTGATGCCATCACAATCTCATAGCAAGAAACGTAAACGTAAAAATTATACTTCATCTTGCATCATACAGAATGGACACCTGCCTTCATTCTTCTATAATGAAAAGTGATGTCGACAAGGAGACGAATTGTCTCCATATCTATCCCTGCTCGTTGCAGAAATTTTGGGAATAATGATTAATGATAATAATTCAAATAAGCTTATCAAAATTGAACAATGTTTAATATAATCTATCGTGATGATACAGAAATATTTTTAGATTGGACTGGTATATCTTTTTTACGTTAAATACAAGTGGAAATATTTCGTGTGTTGTGATTACACACTTACAAAAGTTGGTGTTGGCTCTTTGCACCACCTCCGTGGTCTGGTAGACAAAGCATCAGCCCCGAGAGAAGGGGGTTATGGGTTCGATCCAGGACACATACTACGAGAAAAGGTTAAAAAATAATACTTGTGATCCTCTGCCCGAAGCTCGGCGTTAAGGAAATAACACAATGACTGGTCGGCTCGGGGTCGGCATATTGTGTCTAAGTGGGCTTTCAATGTTAAAACTGTGGCATTGTATCTCAGTGGGCTAGCACTACAGAGCCCGCATGTGACTGGATTAGTACAAGCGGGCACGCACGCACGCACGCACGCACGCACGCCCGCACGCACGCACGCACGTGCAAGGAGTGTTAAAGCAGGTTTCATCTCACGACAATGTATCTTCGTAAAGTGAAACAACAATAGACATTTATATATACAGGTAAGGCCACTAGATTTGTAATTTTGCATCCCTGACTCAGTGGATCCGTGTAACGCTTCTTATAGTGATATTGTCCATGGACCTTTCAACCAGACTGGAGAAGGCATTAGTTCTATGAAGAGAAAACATAAACCGTCAGCGCTAGAGAATAATCAGTCTTGGTGATCAACCGAAGCACAATTTCATAGGCATAAAAAGCAATAGAAGAGATTGTAATTACATAAATGTATCAATTCTTTTCCCTAAGGAATGTAATTCGATCATAATCGCATATATTCTTTTTCATTTACTTGAAGTCAGTACTGGATAGTTGCTCACATTACCCATTAAAACTAATGTCTGTGATGGCTGATGTAAATATAATTATTCCTACTTCGTCCCCAGTTTCATGTGCCGACTTTACACTTGAAAATGCACGTGCAGATGTTAACGTCATCAACACTGACCCTAAAGATGTATGCAACACCAACATCATTGCCTCCGATGACAACACGTCATCCTGTTATACAGGTGCATCGTGGGAAGTGGTGCCAGTCAAGTGTGTGTCATGCTATATAGGCATGGCAAGGCATTCCATGGTAGGAGTCATATTGATGTCTATTCCTTTGTCTGAATCAGCGATGAAGATAAATTGAAGAAGATTGACTATTACTGACACACATGTTGTTCAATTTTTCTGTATGGGTAAATGAAAGAAGCTGTAAAACCTACCTTTACCTCTGTTTATATGTGTCGTGTTTACAATAATAATACGAAGTTTGTGAAAATGTAAGAGCAATGCACGAGTTAAGTTTGTAAACGAGTACTACAGCTTATGTTTAATTTGTACATGTGATTATGCCCAAGGCGATTCCAGGTAGGGCAATGGGCCCACATCAGTCCATCCTTGTTGTAAGAATACAAACTGGATCGGGTTATCATGCTCGGTGACTTGGCTGATTTCCTGTTGTCATACCCCATTTGCTATCACTGGATTGTCTCGATCTGACGCGATTATTTACATACCACTGCATGTTACTGGAACATGAAACACACATACACGACTTCCTTTGCTTTTACCCATTGAAAACAAGTGATGTGTCGCCTGGGTGACAATTTGCTGGCAGTCTATACAAATTGTGACATGTCAATTGATACATTGTGTCACATTATAAAGATGCTATGTCTGAATGGACAGTTTGGAATTTATCCTAAATAGTATTAAAGATGAAAATTAGTTAACAGGTAAAGGTGT